GGTTAACTCCATGACTGAAGAGATAGGGGCAAATTATCTCTGCTATTCTACAACCAAGGAATTATGGGACAATGTCTCACAGATGTACTCTGATTTAGGGAACCAATCCCAAGTGTACGAGTTAACTCTACAACTTGGAGATATTCGCCAAGGTGAGAACTCTGTGACTAAGTATTTTAATTCTCTTAAGAGAATTTGGCAGGACTTGGACTTATTCAACGATTACGAGTGGAAGTCACCCGATGACTACAATTATTCCAAGAAGATGGTGAATGTTGGCTAGTTTCTTGCAGGTTTAAATGTTGAATTTGATGAGGTTCGTGGCGGAATTATTGGAAGAAATCCTCTGCCCCCAATTGGTGAGGTATTTGCAGAAGTACGTAGAGAAGAAAGCCGGAGACAAGTGATGCTTGGAAAGAAGGCTGCAGGTACAACCAGACCTGTGGAAGGGTCAGCCCTGATTATTTTCGAGGCCCAAGTCAGTTGAAGGTCATCCCAAAATCAACGGGTTGGAGACAAGAATAACCTGCGCTATGATTACTGTGGGAAACCTCGCCATACTCGAGAGAATTGCTACAAACTGCACGGGAGACCATCCAATGACAAGGCGAACAAACCTAGTGAACAAAATATACCTACAACAAATGAGGCTGAATCATCTCCATTCAGTAAAGAGCAAATAGATCACCTTCTTAAACTACTAAAATCCTATTCGTCACCTAATACTCYTGTCGGGTCTATGGCACAAACAGGTAGCAATTCTTTGGCACTCTCAATTCTATGAAAATCCGGTCCTTGGATCATAGATTTAGGGGCCTCCGATCATATGACAAGCTGCTCTAATTTATTTAGTTCCTATTATCCTTGTTTTGGTATTGAAAAAGTGAGAATAGCTGATGGTAGTCTTTCATCTATTGCAGGCAAAGGAAACATTAAAATTTCAGAAAAAAATACTCTGAAATCTGTTTTACATGTTCCAAAACTTGCCTGCAATCTTCTTTCTGTCAGCAGATTGTCTAAAGATACTAATTGCTCCATTCTTTTTCTTCCTTCCACTTGTGTTTTTCAGGACCAGAACTCGGGGAAGACGATTGGAATTGCTAGAGAGATAAATGGACTCTTCTACTTTGATGAAACCGCTATTGGTAATAAAAAAGTTCATGGTTTAAGTAGTACGAGTTCAATCTGTGTTTGTGATCAAGTTATATTATGGCATAGAAGATTAGGGCATCCTAGTTTTCCACATCTCAAACATTTGTTTCCTAAATTGTTTAAAGGAAATGATTGGTCAAAACTTCATTGTGAGGCTTGTCATTTGGCTAAAGATCATCGTGTTTTATTTCCAATAAAACCTTATTTTGCTTCAAAACCATTTTATTTGTTACATAGTGATGTTTGGGGCCCATCTAAGGTTAACACACTTTCTGGAAAAAATGGTTTGTGACTTTTATTGATGAATACAAGGGTATGTTGGGTTTACTTGTTGGAAAGGAAATCAGAGGTTGAACAAAGATTTAAAGAATTTTTCCTAAYGATTGAAAATCAATTTCAAACCAAAATTGGTATTCTAAGATCAGATAATGGGACTG